CCATGACTCTGAAGTCGTTCTGGGAGGACCCCACCCCATAACCCGGGGCTTCCAAAATCCCCCTTGTGAGGGCTAGGAAGAAACGGAAGAGCTGGAAGTCATCCTGTTGGCTAAGCACTAGACTATTAATAACAACAACAATAATAATAACACCATCACTGTCAGCCTTACCAATGAAAGCCGGGAGCGCGGGATCCCCACGCTTGATTAAATGGCATAATTAGGAGTCACTTTAATGAACATTACTACATTTTCAGGCGATTTCAAATAAGGACTTTTATTTTTTATGGGGTGGCAGAATACATATAATGAAGATTATTAATATAAATACAAAATGGTCTACACGGAGCTCGGCCCCCTAACAACAGGCCCACCCTGAGGAGCTCCAGAACTTCCACGGAAACTGCGAGACGCCGGCGCATCGCCTTGGTGCAGCTCCCTTTCAGGCTCCGGGAGAGGGAGGAACAAGGGGTCTGCTGGACCAATGCTCTGCCGGCTTTGGGCTGCCCTCCACTTCGAGGCCTAGATAAGATTTCGTCCTTGACTGGGAATGGGACGGAGAAGCGCAGAAGGGTACCTGCAATGAGGATCCAAGCGGGGGCTGCACTACACATGTGTGTACCTGTGTGTGTGGTGGGGTCGGGGTATATTTGTCTCCGAAGGGAGATCAGTCTCCCCGAGGCTGATATCTCCCTCTTCGGGCGACCTGGGCCTTGGCAATCGCGCTGTAGCCGTTTGTGAGTGCCTATTAACCTCCTAGTGCGTGGCGGTTACGCCTCGCAGGCTGTCGTTTTCGGTGGAGCCGGGACCCTCCCAGTGGCGCTGAGAGAGCTACTGGGGCGGACAGAGAAAGTGCAGGTCAGATATTAAACATCGGGAGGCAGAATGACTTTTTAGCAGAGCCAGAGTGAACCAGTATTCCCTCCCAGCCCCTCCACGGCCTGCGCGCGTATTTGCATATACAGTGTCTGGGTATTTGTTTTGCACGCAGTCTGCTGCGACACACCTGTGCGTGGCTGCCTGTGCACCCCCATCGATTTGCACTTTTCACGCAAGGAGAAAAAACAAACGCGGGAGCTTTCTCCGTAATCAGACGGGTGTCATTCGCGGTGCTTTCCTACTCCTCTCCTTTGAGAAATAAAGCTTATGGTGGTGTGAGTCCACAAAGGTCGGGCTTGTTCTTATCCTCCGGCCCTGACTCCAGCTTGAGGGTTGTTCCCTACTTATCCCATTTCTTGACAGAGGTGGGAGCAGTCTGAGGAACATGGAACAGGCTAGGCCTTCGTAGACCTGCCCCTCGCAAGGGTGCCTGCTTGGGAAGGTCTGAAGGCTCAGGTGGCTTTTCCTGGTCAGGGGCTCCTGGGCCCTCAAATAGTTTCTGTCGTGCATGGAGGATGAGGATGTAGAAAGGCCAGGGGATTTAGTTCCAACCGGCCGAGCTAGATACACAACCAAGCCTGGGCGTGGGGGCAGTTCAGCAGGGACGTGGGGGGCCAACTTCTTTGGGGGGGGTGTCGTTCAGTTCTGAAACTAGGACTATATTTATAAAGGAGCCTTGTGCACCAGTGACAATCTGGTAGGGTTCCACTAACTCTCAGGGTCTAGATCCAGAATATGCAGAGACAAAAGTGGTGTTACTGAGCTAGCAAGGTGGATTCCTTTCTGGGGTCTGGATTCCGGAATCATCTTACTCTTGAGGACAGCGAACTTTCTGGAGCAACAATGGCTCCCCAGGAGTTACAAGCTAAATTTGTATCTGAGAAGTAAATATATATATATACACGAGCAAAAATAGAATCTGTAGTCCTTAACATAGGCAATAAAAGAAAAAAAATCACCATGTACTACTTACTTATTGTAAGCCTACTGTCTGTGTGAACACCTGTGGGTTCAGGAAACTCATTACATCACAATATTGTACATTGTCAGTGTTATTATTGGAGAGGGAATTTAAAAAAAAGACAAAAATGATTCTGTAATGTTGATGCACTATCTTTTTATTAGAGAGGCCAGATTTTTTTTTTTAAGAGGCCAGTAGGTTAAATGTTGTGCTAGGTTTTTGTTGTGTTGTTTTGATTTTAGGAACTCTCAGAACTGTGCAGAAGTGGGACCGAGTGGCAGAGATGCTGGGAATGTACCACAGATGAGGACCAGAGCATGGGGATGCCAGTGTCTCCACAGTGAAATCCCACTACTCTGTCCCCCTGGAGTCTGCTGACCACACCCGTTTGTTTGCTGGAAAGGACCAATGCTTCTTTCACAAAGTCAACTGCCTGCCGCCACAGGTCGCCTTGGGCAACAGTTGATCCCCCTAGATTCTTTTAGTTTCTTTTCCTGGGAAAAGAAAAAAAAATATTCTAAAAAATTTGGAAATACAGATATGAGGTGAGCAGGATGCACGTCCGTTTTCCCATATGGTGGTGCTGATCTGGGAGCAGGGGCTCTCAGATTCCAAATACTCCCCTCAGTGAAAAGAACTCCTAGAGGCTCAGGAAACTCCAGGGGGTTGAAGCCATCCATCCCCTTTCTCCCGCAGCCTATTGTGGTTAACAAAACAACAGTACCAAATAAACACTTAAGAAACAAAACAAAGCAACCCCCCCCCCCCAAAAGCCTCAGTCTAACTTTGGTAAAGTTTACTCTCCACAGCGGGAAAAGTACCTACTTCCAGCTTGTAGGAACTGAGCCAGTTAGCAGGAAGGAATAAAGGGAGACCTGTTGAACTCTACTGAATTGAAAAAAAAAAAAAAAATTAGTGGCGTAGCCCCATGCTTTATAAACACTTCCTCCTGGGAAGGAAGTGTTAACTTTAATTACTTTGGCCATTCTATGCTGACGTAGGGGATAGACAGAATCTGTCATTTAGAGATTTTTTTTAATTTTTATTTTTAAATTACATCTCTGGCTACAAAAGTAGATACCCACATCCTTGTTTGGGTACAGGGCTAAAGTCGTGTCCACCTAGGCCTGGGAAAGGATGACCAAGGACAGTTCCTCTGGATTCAGAAATACATCTTGGAGAAACTAGTCATTTCATTTAGGGCATCAAGGATTTTATAATAAAGCTTGTTTTTTATTATTTAATGTAATTTCCAAGAATTTAAACACACAAAAAATGCAGAGGGAATGTTCACAATTTTGATAACCACAATTGTAAATAAAAACATTCATTTCTCATAAGATTATAAATATTTGATACTGCAACTGCAAAATGCATGTTTTTAAACTGAAAAAAACAAAAACAAAAAAACCTTTGTTTCCTGCTAAAAAACCAGCATGTCATTTCATCAAGTTCCCTAAGCAGCAGATGGTTATTCACAGGATTTTAAATTACAACTTCTGTTTTTTGTTTTTAATATAGTTTCCTTTAAAAAAAGAATCACATTATTATGTACAAAGTAGAACTACTAGAGCCATGAAATCAAGAAGTTTAAGGCAAAGAGATAAGTTCAACCTCCATTCTCACAGAACAACTGCAGCTCAGGATCAGCACCTCAAAACACACCCCGCTGTCTCCCACCACAGATAGACATCTGGACACCCTTTTCTCTATATGTTAAACAGAGACAGTGTAGAATTATATATATATATTATATATATATAAAATGTGTATATATATATATATATGTACTTGGTGGAGAATATATCGAATATATTTAATTTACACTGTACCACACTTTCAAAAATAAAATGTTATGTTAAAAAAGGAACAAGGAAAGACAAAAAGTGATAGGGAGTGATTATTTACACCTTTTCTTCTTTTCTCTAGATTCTGGAGGAATTTGAGTTCCTTTTCAACTCAACGTAGCCACATGTTCCAGTACTTTGGGCTTATACTGCTTGTGTGTGTGTATATATATATATATATATATGGTGTGTGTATATGCACATAACATATTGTGTATAAATATACACACACCGTGGAAGAATGTTTCATCTAACATAAACTTGTACTTCAAAAAAAGAAGGAAATAAGGAACGGTCCTGGAGTGGCTAGCGCCTGGGATAGTTGATGTGCAGCAGGGTTAGCTCTCCAACCTGGGCCTGGGAGAGCAAGCAGCTGTCCTCTTTCGTAGGGCTTAGGTCGGGGCTGGAGCCGTAGCAGGGTGCAGAGGCGGTGGTTCCCAGGGGCTGTGAAGGTTGATGCTCCTGCTTGTGTGGACTGGGGCAGGGAGAAGAAAGGCTATGCGACCCAGGCACAATCAGCGGCTCGCATGAAGGCTTGAGCCTGGCCTAATGAGGGCAGAGCTGTGCGGGACTGCTCCCTGCCGCTAGCGGCTGTGTGGGGGGAGGGAGCCCAGTGGACTTTAGCCCCGATTTCCCATAGTACCCTGGCATAGCCGATTCCCAGGGTCAAGCGCCAGAATGCATTCAATAATAGTCCTCCCTCCCACCAGGTCTCCGGGCCGCCAGGGAAAAGGCACCAGAAGCCAGCTACGCACTGGGGCACACGCTTAGAGGGTCTGGGCCTGGAGGTGGCAGCAGATGCCTGGGGGCTTCCTGCCTGTCCTTACCCCAAAACCAACACAAACAAAGTGGCAGAACTCATAGACCAAATAGGAGCTATTTATTCGGTTCACAGTTGTGTGAAATGCAGCAATAAAAATCTTTGGACTTCAGCAAGTTGTTTTAATCTTTTTTTTTTTCTTTTGAATAATAATTTTTAAAAAATCTGATGTTGATGTACCATAACGGAGCTTAGGGAATTTAAAAAAGAAGAAACCCTAAAGAGCCCCCCTTGAAAAAAAAATTCATAAAATTAGCACAATCTCATAAACACAAAAAACTCAAAAAAATATTTTATAGTCAGATATTTTGGATTTTACACCACCTGTAAATAATATATACATAGAATATTGCAGAATCATAGCTAATACATAATATTTTCACTATTAATGCTGGTATAATCTTTATACACTGGCCCTTTATGGTTTTAAATTATTGCATTGTTTAATGTGGACTGAAAACTGGATCCCAGTGCCTGCCCGCCGCCCTAGCCCCTACTCGCTGTCCGACTTGCCCTCCTTGGCTGTGGTGGAATGGTTGTACAAGCCCTGTGCCATGAGATGCACGGCCAACGTGTTCTTGTTTCCTGTGGCCTTCTTGATCTTTGCACGTTTGTTCTGGAACCATATCTTGATCTGCGATTCATTGAGGCTGAGCTCTTGCGCCAGGCTCTGCCGCCGCTGCTCTGTCAGGTACCTGTTGGTCTGGAACTCAGCCTTGAGCCTCTGCAGCTGCTCTGCGGTGAAGGCGGTACGTGGCCTCTTATCTTCTTTGTTTGGGTTCTTCTTCTTTGGTTTGCGAGACCTGGGACCTGGGTAGGCGTGATGGACACAGAGAACACAGGTCATCCACAGATGCCACAACTTACGTCCTTAACCCAAGAGATACCACCTGGAAAACAGCATCCAAAACCCTTCCTTTATTTGGACACAGAGGCCCCAGAGAGAAAGAGAGAGAGACAGTGACTTGACTAAGGCCACTCAGCTGAACTAGCAGAAAGTCAGACTAGACTTTGGACTGAGTTTGGGTTTACCCAGGAGCTTCACAACCCACCCCTAAAGATCCAGCAGACATGACAAGTCTGGATGCAGGGTGTGAGTAGGGTACTGGGGACTCTGAAGGAGTAGTTGGGCAGGATTAGTGAGAAGGTTAATCACAAACAGAGGAGTCTCCACATTACAGTAAATCTCCTAAAGAAAAGTAAAACATTTTTAAAATTTACTGGCATTGCTTTTTCAGCTCTTTCTGAGGCTCTTTCCAGAAAAAAAGGAAGAGGGGGTCGGTGCAGGGAGAAAGATTGGGGAAAGTGTCAGGGTAGCCAGAGAAGCAGGAGACCTCAAGAGTTGCAATGGAGACCCCTACAGGAACTGTGCAGTGTGCCAAGAACTGTGGGCACCAGATGGCTGGTGGGTCCTGGCACAGAAGAAACGGTGTATCCCACCCCAGCCCCCTTACAACATCCCACCTATAGTCTAGTCTGCCCAAGTTCATTGTTTCCTTGAAGGAGAGGTACATAACAACATTTGTTCCTGGGTCTAGACCGTGGTGTGAAACCACTAGGCAGCCCTCTTTGTCCTTTGGAGTCTCCCCAACCCCTCAGGAGAGGTGACCTGTCCCTGCTTGGGTACAGAGGCTGCCAGCCCACCTTCCAGACCTCCCAGATGCTGAGAGGCCACTGGCAAGAACATCTGACATGGGACCAGTTCTATTTCCACACATCAACCCTGCTTCTTCACCTGCATGCCTCCCCACATAACCTGTGGCTGGTTTCTGGAGGGGCAGTTTTAAGGTTCCTAGGACAGTCCAGGGGAGCAGGGAGAGACAGGGGCAGACTTGTTTCATTTTTTGTTGGTGTCAAGATGCTAAATTCTGGACGTGCCCCAAAGGGTAAACATCAGGTTATTTTTGAAGGAAGAGAAAGGACAGGGACATTGGACAGAAGGAGCTTTGACATTAATTCTGAGTTTATAAATTGGGGAGGCTTATGAATAAACTTTTGGGGAGAAGAGATTCCTACTTCAGCTTCCTTCCAGGCACCAGGCAGAAGACATTGGCTGAATTAGAGAACAGCTCACTCCTGCCAGACACCTCTCTCAACTCACCCCCATCGTGCTAACCACCAGCATCACCACCAAGTGGAAGGAGTTCAAATGGGGCCTGTACAACACCCTTCCCCTTCAGCAAAAATGGGTAGACAAGGCATCTCAAGGTCATACCCGGGCTGCGAACTCCCTCCATCACTACGAACTGTTCACTTTTTCTCTGGGAGGCAAACTTGGAAAGAAGGGTTGAGAGGAAGGAAGGGAGTTGGGCATCAACTTACACTCATGCATCTCTCCACACAAACACACACTCTGGCCAATGTCTTGCTAGCTGCCCTGGGCTTCATGTCTTACTTGATGAATGAAGTCTATGGAGATTAGGGCCTGGTAGGCCTGACTGTCTCTCTCTCTGCTTAGAGGTGGGCAGGGAGAAGTGGTGTGATGGTGAGAATGTGTGAGGTGACCTAAGTCAGTTGTCCCAGCTCTGACAGCCAACTCGTCAGGCTGAGCACAGAGCCCCACAGCACAGCCTGGGCTGGTGGCTCTTACTTCACAGCCCATGCTCTGAACCCACATCTTCCATTGGTGGTGGGGGTTTTGTTCATGCATCAGCTTTCAAAAAGAGTCATACTGTTCTATGGAATGGAAAATCTCCCTAAAATCACGATTTCTAGTTCTCTTTCTTTGATATTATTTCAAAACACAGATTCGAGCCTTGAACCAAACTGTCACAAGAAAACTCTCTGCATCCTTTCTATTTTAAAGGTCAAAATACAAAAATGTTATCTTATGGATATAATTATATATATGTATATATTTAAAAACAAAGAAACCCAGAAAGACCAAAGTACTATGGACTTGGATCGGGCAGCGGTCCTGCGGGCTCGGCTGGAGTCTGACTGGGGCTCTGACTTCTGCGCAGCACAAAGCACCAACAGAGGTTTCTCACCCGGCCTGTGCATTGTGAGGCTATATGTTAATTAAATATTAACAAAGGGAGGGAGGCGAGAACAATGGAGCAATTTTCAGATCTAGCTGGAAAATGTATAACTTCCTCAGAAACACACAACGTATGTATTTTTGCGGGGAGGCAGTCGTGTAGCAAACCCGTTAAACGATACCCGCTAAAACAGTTAAGGGTTCTGGAGGACAGGGAGGAGGATCCGATCCATGCTGCCAACATGGGGACTGAGTGGAACCTTCGTCACAAATGGCGGTTCCCAAACCAACCCCGCACTTACTGTGTTTAAAGATTTCTACAAGGGCGTAGATTAAGCTTTTAAAAATCCCAGCCATATGAAACACGGACCCGGTGCTCCCTGAACACATCCCGGGCGCATGGGCGCACACACACCAGGGCAGCGGAAAAGAAACCTCTAAGTGGTCTTTTTATTTTGAGGGTTTACGAAGCTCGGGCCGAGAGATAGTCGCCTGTCCTCTTCTAAGCTGAGCTGCCTGTAGTAAGGATCCTAATCTCCACCGCACGGTGCTCCAGCCGATTAAAAAAAAAAAAAAAAAAGGGCAAAGGAAATGGGGGGCATCTCCTTTTCATCACTTTCCTCCCAACGAGGGTGGGGGACGCACCCAGTCCACCCAAGTCCCCTCCTCCCAGTGGGGATGGAAACCAAGGAGTGCTTTTATTCCCCCTCCTTTGGTATAATTGAATTGTAGGAAGAATCTGGATTTGGGGGGTGGGGTGGGAGGCGTGGGTCCCGGGTCTGGTTTGATTTAGAAAGCAAAGCGCTGGGGAAGAGGGTGAGAGTTCTTGCTTACAGATCTGTATTTCAGCCGCTCTTTTCGTAGCAAATAAACCCCGAACAGTCAGGAGAGGACGGTTGGGATAAGCGGACTGAGGAAAGGCCTCAATAGGGTAGAGGAGAAAGAAAGGTCTTCTGTTTTAGTTTTTCTAAGCAAGTCTGTGTTTACCCTCTTGCAAACCTGCTCCAGAGTCAACCACTGCATGCAAAGTCTCTGTATGTGGCGTGTGTGTATGTGGTGTGTGTGTGTGTGTGTCTTTGTGTGTATATTTTGGCGGTGTTTGTCTTCCCAAGTTCCCAGCTGGGACATGGAGCCGTTTCTGCCCCAGCTCTGCCCAGGCAGTCTTGTCTGCCACCCCGCCATAAGAAGGAGCTTAGGGTCCCCGCCTGTGCTTACCTGAAGAAGGTCTGTCGGAGTAGCGCGTGCAGTAGACCCAGGCTGGCCAGAGCATGGGCTGCGTGCTCAGGTTAGCACTGGCCTGCGAGCTGTCCGAATCTGAGCTCACCGACAAGTCACCGCCACCTAAGCGGGGCTTGAGCGCTCCGTCCAGGGGCCCCCCGGGATCGCCACTTTTCTTGGTCCCGCCATGCAGCGAGAGTGCCTTGGATCCACCTTCTCCATCACCAGGAGAATCGCTCTCGCTGCCCGGCAGCAGCCCGCCAGCCCCAGTCGCCGAGGCGGGGTTGTGCCGGGATTCCCGGCCCCCAGACCGCAGGAGCTGCTCTGCGCCGCTGCCTCCCTCGGCGCCCCCTGCGCTGCCACCTCCTCCACCTTCCTCTAATCTGCCTCCTCGGCCTCCAGCGCTGCTCGTACAGCAAGTGCCAGTGTCCTTCCTTCGGCCGAACTCCGGCCGCAAGATGTTGTCGATAAAGAAGTTGGTGATACGGTGGGGGAGTTGGTGGTTGCCTGGTGCCTGCAGGACCACAGGCAAGATCAGAGCTCGCCGGCGGCCGGTGTCCAAGTCGCTGGGGCTGCTGCCGCCACCTCCGCCGCTGCCAGAATTGCCACTGGTGCTGGATTCCGGCTGCCGCTGCCCCTCCACCGCCGCTGCTTCGCTGGGGTTTGAGTCATTCTCCTCCATACTGTTCACAACAAATCCCAAATTGTTCCTGTTGGGGAACCCCCCAAAATTAGCCCTCGGCGCGCCCGGGGCACCCCCGGAGTCCCCTCGCGGCCGGCTTGCTCTCGCACCCCGCGGACTCCGCCAAGACTGGGCGAAACCGCCGCGGCCAGGGCTGTTGTCTCCAAAGTGGCCGGAGCGGCTGGGAGCAGAGCCACGTTCGAATCCAAGAGTTGGGTGAAATAAATAGAATTAGCTTCCGGCGCCAAGAAGCTGGGCGTCTAGAGTCCAATTCTTCTTCTTAGCGCCGCGGAAGCTCGACAGTAACAATAGTAGCCTCCGGGCAGGCGGCGCCGGCACAGCTAGCCCTCGCACCTAGTCTGATCCGGCTCCACTCTCCTCTCTGCTTGGCGCCGCCTCCCGCTCTAGCGTTGCTGCAGCTGCCGCTCGAGAACGCACTTGTGCACATCCAGGCGGCTAGGTCCCTGCTGCCACGCTCCCGCTCACGCCCGGACGCTGCACCTGTCGGTGCAGCCTGCTGGGCCGGGCCGCTGCCTCCCGTTTACCCCACAGCCTCGAGGTGCGGGGCGGGGTCTGTCAGCGCGAGAGCCTCCACCACTGCCAGCATGCACATGGAGGGATGAGGGCAGCGGACTGTGCTTGTCGCTCAGGCGCCCTTAAGCACTGCCGCCTCCCCTCTGGCGGGCGGGCATACCCAAGCGGCATGGGGACACTGCCCTGCCGCCAGGCGATCCCCAGTGGAGCCCCGGGGTCTTGGGCGCATGGGTGAGGAGTCAGAGGGCAGGCTCAGGCTGGCCAGCGCTCTTGGGCCTCGCGGGTCCGAGCTAGCAGCTGCCTCTTGCGCACGCGGGCTGGGGAAATTTGGAGGCCACTTAGCAGAGCCTGAAACACTTTCACTCTGGATTTTTGTTCTTATTTTTAATAGAGACCCCTGGAGTGACGTCGCAGGCCGGTCTCCTGGACACGTGCCTCGGGCCAATGGCCAGGGCGCAGCATGCCCACGTGACCCACTGGTGGCCGCTCAGTGACAGGAGTCGGCCAGAGCCCCTCCTCCGGTGGCCCCACCCCTCCCCCTCTTAAAGCGGTCGAGTCCTCTAGGCGCCTGGGTGTAGGGCAAGGAGGTTTGCAGGGGAAGCAAGCTCCGCAGCTCCGAATCGCTGCAAGACCCAGGCAGCATCCACTTGGCTCGCCTTCCTCTCTTGCGGGTTCCTGGGTTTCAGAAACTACTAACACAGCCCCACTGTGTATATATATATATATGTGTGTGCGTGTGTGTCTGCGCTACAAGATTGCTATTTTTAGCATTTCCATATTGTTTACCATGGGGGGGAAATCCCACAATTCCTTGCAAAAATGCATAAATAATATTAAATGAGCTGCTGAGCTACAAAGGGACTTTTGTAGTCTGCCTTACTTGCTGCTCCAGAGAGCAATTGTTACTTACACTTGACTTTGGCAACCTGGGCAGCTTCCTCCTTTAAAAGCACAGCTGGTGAGCAGAACACTCCTCGGGTAGACACTTATTGTATGTGTATGTGTGTGTGTGTGTGTGTATGCAGGGAGGTGTGTGCAAGTAGTAGAATTCCACCAGTGATCCCGGTCTTCAGGAAGCATGCATATAATCCGTAAGAGTGCCAGAATACAGTTTGGGGCTCCGTTCCTGGAAGGAAAAATAAGGAAGCATACATAGTATTAACAGAATCTCCTTTATGGAATCAAGAGGGCAGTGGCTATCCCTCCAACCAACCATTCGACCCTATTTTATCAGAGCATTCATTTCATTTTCTTTGTCTTAAAATTATTTTAACTAGTTTCACATAAGAGCAAGATCAGTTTGAAAGGAAAACTAGGAATCAAATCATGATGTAGGGTGGGAACATGGTGTAGTGTGAATAACCCCAATTTGCTTTTCTCCCCTATATTCCTTTCTAAACTTCCTTTCCTGTTGCCTTCAGAATGTCCAGCAAAATGTTCTGTTTCCTCTTCTTTCCCTCCTTGTCCCTCACGCTTCCACGTGTTTGCTCTTCTTGGCTTCACCACCCACTCCGGAGGCACCTACCCTACGCACTAAACCTGGATCCTTACATCAGGGCACCAGTCATTATTTAAAATGCACTTTAATGTAAATTTTTGAACTTTAAGAACCTTCCAAAAGAGCAACTCTGAAGGCTACGTAGTAATCACACAATAAAAATACACTTGGTGGGAAGACAAAAATCACTATGCCTCCTTCTATCTGTGATTTAGGGGGCCTGGAACGCAGGCAACCTGGCTGAGGGAGATGGGGTACGACCCAGGACTTCCTGACTAGCTCCAGTTCTTGGGCAGACAGCCGGGAGCCAGGCCTCCATACGATGGTGTGGGATAAGGGTGAGAAGTTCCTGTACCACAGTCCCTGGCCCCTACAACCACCACCACCAGCATCCCACCACCCACGCGCACACGCGCACACACACACACACACACACACACGCGCACACACACACACACACACACACACACACACACACACACGCCGCCCCAGTCTGACATGCCAGGATGTCTCTGAGATGTGAAGGGTACACCCCAGCCAGGCTCAGCTCTCCTGCTTCCACTAGGGTCATTTCCGCTCTCTATCTGGGCTCTGACCCACCCTCCTCCAGGCTTCAGGGACAAGGGGTAAGACTAAAGGCTGCAGTAACCAAGGCACTGCTCAAAGGGAAATTAACATGTGGAGGAGGGGAGGGAAGAAGTTCTGGCGGAGTCACCCTGAGGCTAAAGATGGCTAGGGAGGCTAGACGGAGAAAATAGAAGATCTGGTGGTAAAATGGTTAGCATTCTGGAGCCTGGAGTTGGGGTGGCATACCCATCCTGGGAACCTTAAAGGCACATCTTACTTGAGGTGACTAACATCTCTCTTCCTGCCACCCTTCTCAAACCTTATTATGATTTTTTTGCAAGGATTTCCTACAACAAAGGGAATCCTAATCATTACCAGCCAGGAAATGAACAATTCTAATTACTTAGTCCTGGAGGCACATTGGTTACATTCTTGGCTGAACACCCGAAGGTCCATGGGTTCAAACCACCAGCAAGCTCTTCAGGAGAAAAGTTTTGGCAATCTGCTCCTGTAAAAATTACCCAAACCCAAACCCACTGCCACTGAGTGGATTCCAACTCAGCAACCTTGTTATTGTTCCAACTCAGAAACCCTGTTGTTGTGGCAAACCAACCTTGTCGTGGAGTGCTTATCCTCACCTTAGCCACACCAGAACTCAGTCTCTATAGTTTAGGAAATCCTTTTCAGCAGTTCCATTCTGTCCTACAGGGTCTCTATTGAGTCAGAATTGACTAGATGGCACACAACAACAGCAATTAAGTGATCCTGAATTTGAGCTGGGTAAAGGGAGGACCAAAGAAAGTTGTTTTGCTTCCTGCAAAGCTTTATCTGGTTTATTTCTCCACCTGTCGTTTGAAATCTGTTAGTTCCTCTGCTGGGAAGTATTTTCTAATTTGAGAAGTGGGTTGGGATGAGTTGGAACTTTTACCTCTGATTGCCTTAGCATTAAATTAGCCCAAAATGCAGAATTTCAGCTTCAGTCCTGCTTGCCATCTAGATCCAATTCATGGCTGCAGTATAAACTCTGGAAAGCAACTTGCACCTCCCAGGCAAACGCATCCCGTTTGTCTGCGCAGACTGTGGGCACCCGCTTCCCCAGGCTCCCATGATGCCAGTCTGGCTTGAGGAAGAAGGGGAATTCCGTCAAAGCCTTGCAGCAGGAGGTGGGAAGGGGTGGAACGAAGAGGGAAAAGAGTAAAAATAATTAAATGAGGCTATCAGGCCACCCAAAGCAGACCTAAATATGAAAATTATTCCAGTTAAGAGCTCCCCTTTAGAGTGGGCCCATCTAAAGAGGGAAGGAAGGGGGAAATCTGGGCCAAAGGTGCAGAAAGTTGCTTTGCCCATGGATTTGGCGAAATCCTAAATCTTACAAACACAGAACTCACCACAAGCTGTTTTAGGATGCTCTTAAATTGTGTGAAAACCCTTCGAGGATGTGAGGCCCATCCTTTCATCTCTCACTCCCAATGTAGGAAACCACCCAGCTGTGCTTCCTGGGTTGCCGGGGGGAATCGGCATTTTCAAGTCCCCTCTTTAGGGTCCACGGTCAGTGGGGCGCAGAGATGCCAACCCGGGCGCTCTGGCTCAGCGTCGGGCGGCCTTCCTTGCCAGCGGCAGCGCTGCTGCACTTGGCCGCCGCCTCCGAAGGATGCTTTCCGTGCGCAGTGAAAGGAAACCATCATTGGATATTTGTTTCTCCCCAAATGTAAAATGAGGCTCTGCTTAAGAAACCCTTCCCCTGTACTCTTCCAGAGACCAGGGACGTGTACACGAACCTCTCGCATACAGAATACTGTCCTCCATATTTCCCAGTCGACTGGGTGAGCTTCCCGCACTCAAGGACTCGGAGTAGAAAGAGGAACAATGGTTTCGGGGTAGGATGAACTTAATAAAACTGATGCTAGTATTACAAATACTGTACAACTCGTGAGTGGTTTACGATTGCATTAGCTCTGCTGGAAACGCCAGGTGCCTGACTGTGGATACAGTTTCTCCTCCCTCCCCCTCGTTTTTATCCCCTTAAAACCAGGCTGGAATGGGCAACTTCCTCAACCCGTCTTTGGCCTCTTCGCTTCCCACGCGCATCTAGCTTGAAGTGGGACTCTTCGGAAAAAGCGAAAGCTGTTTGAGCGGCGCTCGCTCGCAGGGTGCAGTGGCCATTCGGTGGGTAGAAATGCCAAATAATTCTGGGGAATGGAATCTTGGCCAACATAGGCCACAATCACCCCGCGCTAGTGTCCGAGGGTCGAGCCCCGCACAGAGGGCGCACGGTCCGAGAGGTTGGAGCGGAAGGAGAGATCTCCATCAGGCCTGGGCAAAGAGCCCCTCTATGGGGCCGCTGCCTCAATCCTATTCTGCAGACAAAGGCAGAAATTAGGGGGTGCCGAGTAGGAGCGTT